GTCTGTCTGTCTGTCTGTCTGTCTAGTCTGTCTGTCTGTCTGTCTGTCTAGTCTGTCTGTCTATCTATCTATCTATCTATGCATAAACCCCAGTACGTGTCACCATATATTTACTGAAATATTAAGATCATAAAAAGTTAATAAATGAATTAAAATGTCAAAATATATTAATAACATGTATTTTTAAATATTTAAGTTGATCATATTTGTAATATTTATTATATATGTAATGGCAATATAATGAGACAACACTTATTTAATATGCATATTTTATATAAATATATTATATAACAGTGTTGTCTCGTTTTTATATTGGTGGAATTTTTATATTAGCAGTGTTTTCTGTAGGTAATATATTTCCTGTTGCCCAGCGCTGTGTCAGGTGTAGTTTTGCAAGATTGCTTTTCAGATACAATGCGTCTGTTTTTTTTCTTGGTGTCTTTCATCACTGGGCTTGTTAAGTCACTCTGTGCTGCCTGTATTGTGGTGGCTCGGCCCCTGTAGCGCCGAGGGGAGATCCGTGTGATGCTGAAGGACAGACCCCCTCCTGCTGTGATTAAAGGTGCTCAGGCCTGTCATTACCTCACAGCACAGAGACTGACTCACAAAAGCCCAGGCCTTTGATTGGCTCTGCATGAGAGATGCTCTGTGTGTGAGTCTGTGAGGTAATGCACTCAGTCTGATCACACGGCTGTTCTGTGAAAGTAAAGCACTTGAAGGATGGAGGATGTTTGTCATTCACCCGCCAGCATCTGATGATGTGAAGACATCCTGATTTATGCTAAGGAAGTGAATGTGTGGCTTTATTATAATGTTTAGTAATTCAACAGTGTGGAATTAAGCAGAAGTAATGCTCCTTTCCAGTTTTCAAGTTAAGAAGGGATAATTATTAATTAATAATTATTTTCATGGTTGGACCATTTGTTTGGTCCAAACTCAGCATTTCACCCCAGAAATCTCTTATTTTATTCAGAAAGCTCAGAGATTTTTCTGCTACAAACCACCACGTATGATTATTGCCTTGCAAAGGAACCCCTTTATAAACAGCCATTAATACGGTTTTTAAAAAATAGAATAAAGATAAATGTGTAAAATATTATCTGGATAATTTTTAGTTTCTGCTAGGTTGAAGCAAAATTCATATTGCGTTTTTCACTTTTGCTGTAATATTTAATATAAAAAATGTACTATATATTTTAATTATAAAAATTTTAATTGATATAACGTTATAAAAATTCATGTTAAAAATTAACTTTATATATATGTATATATATATATATATATATATATATATACACACACACACACACACACACACACGCTCTTAATAGCCTTTAAATTTTACACAATTTAGCAGATTGCACAGTGCATCTTAAAAGCAATATACTATTTCTTTCTTAGTTTTATATATTTCTTCATTACAAATATTTTTTTTTTGTATACCTTGAAAGCGATGAAAGTCATTTTGAATAAAACTATCTTCCAAATGCAGGCTTGCCATAAACAAATTAAATGCTATCCATATTTTCTTGCAGATTTTATGACTATTCTTAATCCGTAGTAAACAGTGCATGCAAACTGAATTAGCCAATTTGCTTTGAATTATAGATGCATCCACATTTCCTGCTATGACGCTCCACGCTCTAAGTACATTTTGAGTTTTCCTCCTATTCCTGCTCCTCGCAGATGATTTTATCCTTGTAAATATGATAATCCTGACATGTCTCGAAGGCAGCATACATTAGTATTTTTCTGTGAATATGTATCAGTGTATGTTAATGTGTGTCTTAAAGACGTTAGATTTGATCCCATGTCATCTGACGACCGCCTGCAGAGATTGTACATGTTCTCTTCCTGTGTGTGTGTGTGTGTGTGTGTGTTGTGACGTGATGTATGCATGAGTGCAGCATCAGGTGCGTTGAGCGTGAAGAGCAGAAGAACAGGCCGTTGTTGTGGCTTGTGCTCTGCAGATAAAGCAGGATTGTGTGTGATGTTTAAACACACACACTTTTACAGGGATGAAAAATGGTCATGTGCAAACTGTGGAGATTTGAGAATGAAGATTAAACAGAAGTGACAGCCATATTTATCTATATTTTGTAGATGGTGTATGGGAATCAGGGTTATCATCAACTAAAACGGAAATCATTAAAAAACATTTTCATTACTTGAAATAAACATTAACTGAAATAAAATAAGAAAAACGTAAACTTATTTTATTTTAGCAAGTTGCCAAGGCAATATTTCTCATTTTTTAAATTTGGAGTACTAAAATAACTAAAACTAAAAACTTGAAAACTATATAGACATTTAAAAAAAATAATAATAATAATGAAAAAAACACTACAAAATTATTAAAAATGTTAAAATTCAAAATAAAAATAAATAAAAAACACTAAAATAATTAAAACTTCAATTTTATAGACATTTAAAAAAATTATATAAAAATACAATTACTAAAACATTAAAATGAAAACAGAAAATATTAAAACTAAAAATGAAAACTTAATATAGACATCAAAAATAAAGTGAACAAAAGCACAACAAAGCTACTACAACATTACAATGAAAACATTACATAAAATGAACAGAAAATACTAAAATAACAAATTAAAAAATAACCAAATAAAAGCTATATATATGTTAAAAAAACACAACAAAATTACTAAAACATTTGAAATTAAAATGAAAACACAAAATATTAAAATGGCTTAAACTAAAACTTAAAAACTATACAGACAATTAAAAAACGAATTAAAAAAACAAAAATTAAAACTTTAAAATTAAAACCAAAAATACTAAAATAAAAACTATATAGACGTATTAAAATAAAAAGCAACAAAATTACTATAACATTAAAATTAAAACTTCAAAAATAAAATCCGTTTCAAAATATTATCTAAAATACTAATAGTATCAATTAGGGATGTAACTATTAACCACAAGCCGGTTGAAAATCGATTCAAATATGTGACGATTCAAATCGGTTGAGATGCTAAACAAATCGCGATTCATTTAGGGGTAGGAGTTTATATGAATGCATGTCTGAGGGGAACTTACTGTCTTTAGATGGTATTTTTTCTTTTCCTCTCGCCTCTGTATAATGCATATTAAAGTTCATAAGTGCAGCACTGCTTTGTTTACAGCAGAAACCAAGGAAACGCTTTAAGCGCCACCTGCTGGCAGAGAGTGAATCTGCATCTCATTCAGCTCGTCTGCTGTTTCTGTTTCATGCAGATATTTTTTATGTATAGTTTCACAAAACTGAAGTCCAACCATTCTGTTTTTGCTTCAAATTTCGAAATTATACAATGTAATTTAGAGCAATAATATGCAAGTGCTATATTAGTATATTATTATAGTGTTATATTTCAATTTCACAAAGAAACGTACAGTATTTTGTCCAAGCAATAATAAAAGGACACATTTAATTTCTAATTTGTCCTAAATCTCATTTTGTTAAAAAAAAATCGTGAATCGAATCAAATCGTGAGTTGAGTGAATCGTTACATCCCTAGTATCAATGATACTAAAAGATCACTGAAAAAGCTGTCAAAAGAGTTGTAATAAACGCAGCAGTACTAAAGTGTGCTGAGTGCTGTGGATGAGGTCTGCAGTGAGTGTGTGAGAGCCTGAGGGAAGCATCAGCTCTTCCAGAGGACTGATGATGATGATGATCATCTCTGTGTGTAGGTGGAGCAGACCAGCAGGCCTGACCTCGTCCTGTTCCTCATGAAGTACCTGATGCTGCTGGTGGTTGGGATCCCGTCGGTGTTCTGGGTGGGCAGTAAGAAGACCTGCTTCGAGTGGGCCAGCTTCTTCCACGGCCGCAGGCGGAAAGAGTGAGTTACAGTACCTTCCTCATTCTGCTTCACTTCACTTCACTTGAAACTAGACATCATCAAGTGCTATTGTAAGTACAAGAATATGTTTGTCAGACGAAGAACAATAGACATTGTATTGAACTGTAATGTACTTACTGCCATCAACTATTTGATTTCAAAAAGCTTTCTAAAATTGAGGCACAGATACTGTGGAAAAGAAAATTATAAATATGTGTAAAATATTATCTGGTGACTATTATTATATAATAGTTTCCGCTAAACTGACACAGATTAAGTTTCCCCTTTTTGTTGTTATACGTAATATATAAATAATATAAATACCAACAACAACAAAAAACTTAAAGAAAACTTACAAGTTTAAAAAAACTTGCCCCATTTAGACTTGCACTCTATTCATTTACTAACTGCTTCTCTATTCTTTTTCTATTCTATTCTATCCATTCCTTTTCTTTTTATTTATTATACAATTAACAAAAGCAAAAAAGGCCTCTAACACTAGCTTGCTCTATTCTTTTTCTATTCTATCTGTTTTCTTTTTATTTATTATATCATTTAAAAAAAAAACCTTGCTACGTGTACTGCGTTAAAGGGGTCTGTTATGCTCTTTTACAAAGTCTTGATTTTGTTTTGGGGGTGTACTAGAACATGCTCTCATGCTTGGTGGTTCGATAATTTACATTATTAAAATACCTTTCTCACCATCCTGGCACAAACGGCTCGATTAGTTCCGGCTTTGATGAAGGTCCACCTTCCGAAAAACAAAATGTGTTGTGATTG